AGATGCAAAGTCTAGTCTGGCTCTTCCACAATGTTCTAATTAAGATTCCAAATTGCCCAAATTTATGCTTCCAGTGCCTTGTATTATTCCTGTGCCACTTGTCACCGTTCATTTGTTTATTCCCTTATTAATCTATATAATTATATAAGCCTGTCCGCCGCGCCTAATCACCCGTCTCATAGCTCCCTTCACATAGCCTGTCCGCTTGTTGGTTTCAGCCAGGGCTTATCAGCCATGATATAGTGTTTTCCTCTCACAAAAAACTAGCACCAGTCGGGCTTATCAGTCCAGAAACCAAACAACGAACAAGTTGACAGCAATTTCGGAATCTCGGCCATGGAGATGGTTCACGATGATAAGAGAATCGTTTTGTCATGGCAGAAAGATGCATGCAGCTTTGTCTTACTAATAACTTGGATTGGGTTGGTGACCAAGTAAAAACAAGGAGGGTACAACATTTCATCGTAGTAGTTTCTTGTACATCACCGGACTTGGCCAACTTTTGAAAAGGACATATATAGAAGCCAAAAAAAACTATCTTTGGACTTGACACGTTTTAGCCATTCCAAGAATATTGTTTCAACTGATAAACGTTAATTAGTTCGAGGGTTTGGACAATAGAAGAGAGGGTATGCATGGTTGATAACTTTTTAATTTGAGTAATAATATTTCAAACAGTGCACTTGGACTGGGAGAGAATCTTTCGTATCACATAAGACCACACGTGGTTTGGAATCCAAATCTCATCCAATAGATAAAAGCAATGAGAGCGTCCCCATCGGTGATAGCTAGTACACGTCATATTCTTGCCGAGGTGGAGGTAAGATAAAGCAAAAAGGCAAAGTCGCTAACGACGAACACTTGCTAGTCTATTTGCTTATGTTCCAAGGATGCACGTGCAGCTCGTGTTTTATGCATCCGATTTATTGGAGCAAGGCTAATAATACAAGCTGTATGAATTTTTACCGTCTATCTCTCAGCCTACGCATATAGTATTGAGCTTTTCTCTTACAAAATTTTTCCCCTATGCATAAGCTAACTATAAGCTTACCGTCGTTTTGTCACATAAGACACCAGATGCTTGGCGCCACTTTATCCATCCTGCTTTGATTCTATGGCTAATATCTTCATCAATATCCCCGTCTCTCTGTAGCACTGATCCTAAATATCGAAAGGTATCATTCTTAGGCACTACTTGACCTTCTAAACGAATATCTTCCTCCTCCCGAGTAGTAGTGCCGAAGTCACATCTCATATACTCAGTTTTAGTTCTACTGAGTCTAAAACCTTTGGACTCCAAAGTATCCCGCCATAACTCCAGTTTCTGATTCACTCCTGTCCGACTTTCATCAACTAGCACTACATCGTCCGCGAAAAGCATACACCAAGGGATGTCCCCTTGTATGTCCCTTGTGACCTCATCCATCACTAAGGCAAACAGATAAAGGCTCAAAGTTGACCCTTGATGTAGTCATATCCTAATCGGGAATTCATCCGTGTCTCCATCACTTGTTCGAACACTAGTCACAACATTGTTGTACATGTCCTTAATGAGCCCGACGTACTTCATTGGGACTTTACGTTTGTCCAAAGCCCACCACATAACATTCCTTGATATTTTATCATAAGCTTTCTTCAAGTCAATAAAAACCATGTGTAGGTCATTTTTCTTCTCCCTATACCGCTCCATAACTTGTCTTATTAAGAAAATGACTTCCATGGTTGACCTTCCGGGCATGAAACCAAATTGGTTCATAGAGACCCGCGTTATTGCTCTCAAGCGATGCTCGATAACTCTCTCTCTCATAACTTCATAGTATGGCTCATCAACTTAATTCCCCGATAATTAGTACAACTTTTTTTTGAACGTACTGGCAGGAGCTCTGCCTTTCAATTAAGATGGGATAAGAAAGTTTATGTACAAGCAAAGGTAACTAGGTTATAGTCCCCCCCCCCTTAAGCATGCGAGCTAAATGTAATCGAATGCTCTCTTCCTTTGCTCAATGTCTTCCTTAATCCTTGCGGCTACCTGCAGCACCGTTTGACTCATATTGTCGAAAATTCTCCTGTTTCTCTCTTTCCATATATTCCAAAAGGTGTAGATAGCTACTCCGTTAAGCCTACGACGCTCCGCTCTTGGCGCTTTTGCCGCCGCGTCTTCCCACCATGACTTGATATTGGTGGGGTTTGCATTTTGCTGTTATTGGATTTGAGTGAAGTTTTCCCATGTGAGGATTTGATTGAATATCCCCTTTATTCTTGTAGATCGGTACCAATATACTTCTCCTCCACTCGTCAGGCATCTTGTTCGATCGAAAAATATGGTTGAACGGCTTGGTTAGCCATACTATAGCTATGTCCCCGAGGCATCTCCACACCTCGATTGGGATACCATCCGGTCCCATCGTCTTACCTCCTTTCATCCTTTTCAGCGCCTCTCTGACCTCAGATTCTTGGATTCTCCACACAAAGCGCCTATTGGTGTCATCAAAAAAGTCATCCAACTGAAAGGTTGTGTCCGTATTCTCACCATTGAACAATTTGTCAAAATATTCTTGCCATCGATGTCGGATCTCATCCTCCTTCACCAAGAGATGCTCCTTTTCATCCTTAATGCACTTAATTTGGTTGAAGTCTCTTGTCTTTCTCTCACGAACCCTAGCCATCCTATAAATGTCATTCTCTCATTCCTTCATACCCAAATGTTGATAAAGATCCTCGTACGCTCTACCCTTTGCCACACTTACAGCTCGCTTTGCAGTCTTCTTTGCCACCTTGTACTTCTTTATGTTGTCCACACTCCTGTCATGGTACAAACGTCTATAGCATTTTTTCTTCTCCTTAATAGCCCTTTGGACTTCCTCGTTCCACCACCAAGTATCTTTAGCCTCGCCTCCACTTCCTTTGGTTACTCCACGCACCTCTGAGGCCACCTTCCGGATGTTGGTTGTCATCTTCTCCCACATGTTGTTTATGTCCTCTTCTTTCTTCCAAGAGCCCGCTTTGATAACTCTTTCCCTGAATTCCTCTGACGTCTCCCCTTTCAGTTTCCACCACTTTGTTCTTTCAATCTTAGCTTGTTTATCCCTACTTTCTTTTGAGAAACAACACACTAAAGAAAGTGTTGGCTATTATCCCTGGTATCACCTTGCAACCCAAGCATGTTCGTTTGTCCTTTCTTCTTGCGAGGACAAAGTCAATCTGACTAGAGTGTTGTCCGCTACTGAAGGTCACTAAAGAAAGTGTTGGCTATCATCAGGTCAAAAGCTATCACAAAGTCCAGAGCTTCCTCCCCCTCCTGATTCCTACTACCATACCCAAAACCTCCATGAACTGCCTCGAAACTTGCGCTTATAGTACCTACATGCCCATTAAGATCTCCTCCTATAAAAAGCTTCTCACTACTAGGTACAGCTCTAATCAGGCCATCTAAGTCTTCCCAGAACTGTCTCTTAGCACTCACGTCGAGGCCTACTTGGGGGCATACGCACTAATTACGTTCAAGACCATATCACCAATGACAAACTTGACTAAGATAATTCTATCTCCTTGCCTTCTCACTCCCACCACACTATTCTTGAGGCTCTTATCAATCAAAACTCCTACTCCATTTCTATTCGCGACTGTCCCTGCGTAACAAAGTTTGAAACCTGTATTGTCCATCTCCTTCGCCTTCTGACCCTTCCATTTAGTCTCTTGAACGCATAATATATTTACACGCCTCCTAGTCGCGGTATCAACTAATTCTCTTAACTTACCTATAAGCGACCCTATATTCCAACTACCTAAACATATCCTAATTGGTTCGACCCTTGCTCATTTTTCACTACACCCGGGCGCCGATGTAGCGCGCCACTAAGGATGTGACGACCCGATCCTTACTCACTTGACACCGTGCCCAGATTGTGACACGGCGCGTCACGGGGGTGACGACCCGGCCCTTGCTCATTTAACACCATACCCAGGTTCCGATATGGCGCGTCGCTAAGAGGGTTACACCCCAACGGTTTTCTTTCGGGTTTCATCTCCATTAGAATGGCTAGGTTTAACGTTGGCTCGCCACGCCTATCACAACCCTCCTCCTTTATCAGGGCTTGTGACCTGCTATGTTGAGACAACATAGGCGGAGTTAGCAACCTGATCCACGGGTCGATGAATTCTCAGATTTGTGCAGCTGTTGTGATTCGCGTCCGCAGCAATCTGATCCAACTCCCATTGTGTAATTCCTGGCTGACCGTCCTGTTTTTTCTGCGTGCCAGCTTGAACAGGTTAGGCGCCAGATATCTAGGCGCTTCACCTTCTAGACAGGCGTGATGCTAGAACCGGGCTTTGTGGCCGTTCCCGATTGTGATCGTGGTGGAGGCGTTGAACAGGAGGCGATCAATGTCCTTACATGGTACTTTTGTTCCCACCCATGGTTTGGAGTCATCTGTCCACTCCTGCAATAGCCAACAGAGGCGCAGCGCTCTCCCAAATCTTTCCAAGTCAGGCACTCCCGTGCCCCCCAAGTCCTTGGGCATGCAGACGGTTGGCCAATTGACCAAGCAGTGACCCCATTAGCATTCCCCTCTCCTTTCCAGAGAAATGATCTTCGTATCTTGTCAATTTTCTTCCTTGCCCAAACCGCTAGCGGGAACACAGTTAGGTGGTAGGTGGGCATTGAAGATAAGACCATGGTGACCAAAGTGTGCCTGCCCGCACTGTTCAGCATTTTGCCCTTCCATCCCGGCAGCCTTTGTCCATTGCGCTCAATTAGAGGCTGTACGTGGACTTTCTGCAAGGATCTCGTATGCAGTTGCAGTCCCAAGTAGAGGCACGGGAATGATGCTCTTGTTCCTGTGAAGGAGGCCAGGACGTGATCGAGGTCAATGTCTTGGCATCTGATCGGGTGGACTGAGCTCTTTTGCATATGTAAGCCCGAGATTATGCCGAATTCATGCAGGATGGCCGTGATGGCCTCGAGGTCTTCTCTGAGCGGATTGATGATGATTATTGCATCGTCAGCGTACATGGATGTTCTCCATCTTGCCGCTGCCAGGGGCAGAGTGGTGAGTATGCCGTGCTGTGTTGCCATGTCTAGCAGTTGTTGCAGTGGATCCATGGCGAGTATGAACAGCATGGGTGAGAACAGCATGGGTGATGAGGGTCACCCTGAAAAAGCAACCACTACCTCTAAGCATATGCAAGATGAGGGGAGTGACATTTATTCAGCGTGAAAAAAAAACCATTATAGCCAATTGGTAACCCTCTAACTAATACAACAAGTGGTTTATACACCAATTATTCAATTAAAGTACTTCAAATATTGCACCACCCTTGAATGGTGGTCCCAAATTTCAGTGGCACATCATAAGCCTTTAGTTTGAACTTGCATGTTATGTTCTTTTATCGCGTTCCTTCCTTCTCAATATAATGATGTGTCGCTTTCCAGCTAACATGAGGAAAAAATTAGATCACCCAAAATAAAGAAAATGATGCAAGACTTCAATTGGATGATACAGGGCCCTATTTGTCAGAGAGAACTCACTTATCATCTCCCATGAATGCATACTAAATTAAACTATAAAGATCACTTATTGAAATAATTACACTTAAATGCAAAATTCAGGATTATATCTCCCATGAATGCATATATTAAACAAACCTATAAAGGTCACTAGATTGTTTTCTTTAATATATTTTTTCTAAATTAAAGAATAACAAAACAAGCAAAACTACCCCAACTCTGAGTATCTCAAGGGATGGCGCAGCTTCAAGAAGCGTCGTTGTCCACATAAGGCCAAATCCAACAAAAATATCATGTAGATACAATTGCCTCAAATTGCTAAATCCTGAGCGAAGTTGATCCTTTTTCGGTTGTAACCAAATCTGCAGAGATGAGAGAAGTAAGAAAGTAAGAAACTTAATGTTTTGAATGTAATTGACCAACTATGTTCATTATGAATCATTGATAACAGAAGTGCTTCAGCTCCAAAATGTGGATTTAGGCATGAACTGTTGGAGCTCTAGCTAGGGTTATTAGATCAAGGATACTTGAGAGAGCCAACATGTTCCTATTTTTTGGACTGAAAACCTTAAACCACTTTATCTTATTCTACAAACTACATATTCAGAGAGAATCCATGAACCAGATCTGTCACACTATTTTTGTTAAGGAAGCCATACATACACATAAAACACAGCATGAGAATAACTTCGCATCGAATTTTGCACGCATACAAAGGAAAAGAAATGACAGCAAATAATGATGATCATAATTACAGAAGATGAATATGTATTACCTTTCGTCCAAAAAAAAAATCCAATGTTAGAGAATCTATGCATGATGTGCCACATAGAAACTCACTTAACTTGAATGGTTCACTATGAACCGTTAATGCTCCATAGAATTCTACTTCCTTAAGGCATGGGACATATCCCAAAGTCATGGGTAAACATGGACATAACCAAAAGCCACATATGAGTTGCTTTAGCTTTGGAAGGCAAAACAACTCAACTCGATCAAAAGTACAATGAGAAAACTCTAGCACACTGAGTTTTGAGTCTGGCACATCAATCTTGAATGTTGTGTAAAAGCCAGTATAACAATAGTTTAGATAAAGATAACGCAATTGTGTGCACTTGTTTGCAAGGAGATTATGTAGATCCGATTCAGCAAATCTGCATTGTAAAGGGAGAGGCTTGTGAGGCAACAATATACATTAGGATAGTTTCGAAAGAAAATAATCACACCATCCGCATGGTTTGCCATGTCCTCCTCGCTAAGAGTGGTAGGCATCATCTGAACGCCACATGTGAGTTCTATATCTTTTACGATTCCATTTTCAATAGCTTCATTAACAAGATGACCAACCTCGTTTGAGTACCCACTGGTTACGAAGAATGAAATGCAAAGCTTTGTTATAACAGACTTTCTGCAAGTCGGTGCCAACATACTCCTAACTGCTTCTGTTAGAGATGACAGTGCTTTTTCAATGTCATCCACTGCGGGATGGTCATGGTCATACGGTTCGCGGAGGAAGTCCTTGATATGTATGCTGAGTTGTCTGAGCAGCCAAGGAAGGTGTCTCCATCGCGTGGACAAGACGCCTGCCCTCACTGATGTTGTTAAGTTGACATTTTCCAAGATCAAGAGTAGAATGTCATCAACTAACTCGCTTATCATGTCTTCTTCTGTTTGCTGCTGCAGGATCTGCATGATCACAAACATTTAGATTGTTTAGTTTAGGCTTATTATGTAGATATTCTTAGGCAATCGAAAGACTTGTTACAGAGATAACATGTATAGTTTAAGACATCTTACATAACATTTTTCTAAGACATATTTTCCAGTCAAATATTTATCGTGCTTTTTTCTGTTCATCCATCACTGATTGTGTGGCAAGCGGTAGAGTCTTACCGCCTGTGACCGGAAGGTCCCGGGTTCGAGTCGTGGTCTCCTCGCATTGCACAGGCGAGGGTAAGGCTTGCCACTGACACCCTTCCCAGACCCCGCACAGAGCGAGAGCTCTCTGCACTGGGTACGCCCATCACTGATTGTGTGGCAAGTTGGTGTTAAAACTTAAGGCTTCTTCTGTACTAGGTCAACAGAAGTAGTACTAGCGAGGTAAGGCATGCAAACTGAAAAGGGTGGTATATTGTCATATTGAATCCATCATACACAGGACTCATCGAAATATGCTCATATGCAACAAGCAGTACTACTGTAGCAGAGGAACGTTTTGATCAACCTCAGCCTAAGATGTTGTTTGGTTCAGCAATGTGTATGGGAACGCTAATGCAATTAGTTGCCGGCGCCAGCTATTACAGGGGAACTGTAAACGCTATGTGTTTGGTTCGCGGCGTGAGTGGTACCTGTTCTTCTTTCTTCTTGTCCTTGGAGGAAGAGGATGGCTTCTCCTCCTTGGTTGGCGCGAAGGTCTGTATGCTCTTGGTCTCCGGGGCTGGGCCGGTGCCGCGACGAGCATCTTGGGGCACGGGCGCAGGGGCGCGGCCTTTGGTGCCTTGGCAGTGGGAGTCCAAGCGAGGGCCTTGGGCTTGGCCGGAGTCGCTGCGGGAGAGGCGGGGTTGCCTTGGCAGTAGGAGTCGCCGCAGGGTGGCAGATGCGGCGGCAGGGACGCGCGAGAGGTTGGGGCGGAGCACGCTGGTGCGAGGAGCAGAGGACGGGGGCGGCGGCATTGATTTTTGCGACTCCGCGAGGCGATCCCGCTAGGAGCCTACGAGGGGAGGGGAGGGGAGGGGTAACGAGGTTGTATTGGGCTACATCTGTTAACGCTGCTATTTGTTACCATAGGCCTTAGCCCATAGGCCGTACATGTCTCTCTATACCGCTATTTTTTTTTTTTGAAAGAACTCTCTATACCGCTTTTCAGATGTAAGCCCGTGTTCTTTTCAAAAAAAAAGTTTTCAAAAAGTGTTACAGTCCATCACATCGTATCTTGCGATATATGTATGGAACATTAAATGTAGATGAAAAAAAAACTAATTACACAGTTTGATGGGAAATTGCGAGACGAACATTTTGAGTCTAATTAGTACATGATTGAACACTAATTACCAAATAAAAACAAAAAAAGCGCTACAGTAGCCAAATTCTAACTTTCTCCTCAACTGAACAAGGGCTAAGTGCTCATCATATCCTAAGCTGCTGAGCAGGACAGGGCCCTCCAAAATCCTAAGGACCATGGCGTGCACGTGGGTACACAGTTAGAGATCTCAGAGGAGTGACAAAGCCTCCTCTTTTTACCACTTTCTATTTCTATTTTATTTTTTAGATAATGGAAATTGTTCGGTGTAATCTCATCTCATTAATCAACATTATCAAAGAACGGGCATCCATGAGATAGCCACAGCTATAAAGTCACTCGCAAAGTTCTAGACACATTGTGACACAGTTTGACATTATTGACCAATCTAAAAAAACAACGGGCATCCATGAGAGGCAAAAATTTGCATAGCTACTGACTCCAAGTTTCGGCAGGCCAGAATGCAGTTCCTGTTGATCCTCAAGTGCGTGCATTTCTATTTTCTTTTTGAACGAACGGCTTTCAGTGATAGAGGAGAGGGTTTTACATCCCGTTACCTAAGCCTACTCTCGCGCCATTACACGAGCTAAATGTTTCACCCCTGCTAAACATTTAGAGATGCATTTAAATATCAACTATGGGTACATTATAAGACAGATGGTCAAGCAAGCAGGGGTATGGGCGTATCAACATCCATGGCCTGGTTTGTTTCTTGCACTTCTCTCCGTCAACTCCCCTGCTTTATGCAGTGACATCTGAATTGTTTGCTAGCATGCAGCCTGCAAACAAGTTATACAGGAAACGATATAAATTAAGGGTCTTCTAATCTTTTATTTATACAAGAGGTATGATATTCATGTGTAAAACAAACCGGTGCATACTTTGCAGGGGTATCACACCGTTTCTTCTTGCGATATCCAACTTTTTTCTGGCATAATCATAATATGTCATTTGTCTTGGAACCTGAAAATCCATTTAGCTTTTTCATATAAGCGAGCGAGATAAAGCTAGCTTGGACATGCATGCATTAAAGGACAGAATAATAAGGATATATGAATCTCAAAAGAGACGGAAAACTAACAATTTTTTTAACAGCTTCCAGGATCACTGAATGGGCTTCGTTTTCTTCAACCTACAGACACAAATTGCATCACTGTATGTAGAGAAGTATTTGACTTGGACTTTGACTTTAGGCAAAGCAAAGCAGCTTACCTCTCCATTAAGATCAACCAGATATTTATCATACTGAAAATTAGAGCATGTGAAAGAATTAGTCACATAATGACTAAACAGAGAAAATTCAATAGGATTTTAGCAAGATCAAGTGAAAAAGACTGAACCACGTCTGCGAAGAAGAGCAGCAACCTACGTTTGTTCTCAGCCCACCAGATCTTGGGGCACAACTAAACTGTACAGCTGGAGAAAATGTTAAACAAGGGAACCATAAGTTGTTTAGTTCAGCATCTGAGCCAAGTATCAAACCTTTTCCTTAGCGACCCGTTTCCAAATCTCTAAATAGAGACTAGCAAAATCTTCATATATACTATTACACTTAACACTCCACAAATATTCCTGCAAAAAAAATATAGAATTGTCAAATACCATACACCTGCAGCAACCACTATTAATGTGAGGTAAGGGCATTATGTAACACCCTAGGTGTTTAGGCTTCCACTAATTGCATTTCATTTCATAAACATATGCATCATCTATGTCATCATTGTCATTGTTACTAAAACATGCATATGCAACATTTTCAACTGTGTATGTTTCCTGCTTGATTGTTGTGAATAGTATTGGATAATCTGTGAATGCAACATAAATTTCTCACATCTTGAAGCATGGCAATATGGTAGTAATGTGACAAGTATAGGATAACAACAAGGTCATGCAACATGTGAAATGTTGTATTGAAACATATGTATGAATTGCTTGTTTTACTTTCTTTATCACATGTGATCAGTAGAAGTGGTATAACAATTTTGTAAAGTGGTTGATCATGGTCTATTACACCTTAACTATACTTAGGTTACTTGTTGGGACATTGTTCATGTAGACCAAAATGACCAAAATGCCCTCAAGTGCAAGTTTGGCTTGAATTGACCCATGGAGTGTCATCGTTTGACTGATTCAAAAGTCCAACCTAGAGACTTTGCATGGCTGTGCACTCTTTACAAAAGTTGTAGCTAATTTATCAAGGAACAAAAGTTGTTTTATGACCAACTCATGAAAATGGCTAGAACATGCTCAAACATGGCCCACAAGTCAGAAGTACATGCTGATTTCATACTTAGCAAATTTTTCTAAGTCCTAAAGTGAAGTACAGTTTCGTGTACCCATGTTTGGAGCCGTGTATCTCCCTAACCGAGCCAAACCAGCTTGAGCTCCAGTGGAAAGAGTTGTAGTTCAAGTATAGATGAGCAACTTTGTTAACTATGGCATAGTCTAGATCACCACGGATTAGGAGTTAATGATCGTCGAATACGTGCTGTCAGTCATCGTCGATGAACACTGAATCGCGTTTGTTTTCAGAAAACGGTCAGTCGCCGTGGCCGACCGGCTCAGAGGCTTGACGCCGCGTGTCCGCCACTCGTCGTCGGCCTTCTATCGCGCAGGCCACGCGCCGTGGACGTCCTGGCGTCGCAGCCGCGTCTTGAAGCCACCCGGCGCACCGCCCACCAAAGTCATTGCTTCATTTGCATTTCTCGCGTAGCGATGTCAGTCCGCACCGCCCGCCATTGCTCCGCCTTCGCCCCGCTTGCTCGCCACTGCAAAAACGCGACGGCCATCCCGCTCGTAGCCTCGCCGTGATCCCCTCTGCCACCCCCACCCCTCAGCCAGGTCGATTGTGCCTTGGTAAGGACGAATTCGTCATTCCCTTCCACCGCCCGTGGCTGTTCTCGCCGGAGTTGGCGCTCCACCCGACCAGCTGTCCTCGCGCCGTTCCCATCCCCTCCTCTACCTCGCGCTAGGTCATAGGAACACCACCGAAGCTCGTAGAGTCACCGTTAGGGGCTGTGTCGCCGTCGATTCATGAAAGCCGGCCGTCTGCGCGTGGTGGTCTTGCGCGCCGTGTTTCATCGCCACCCCCTCTAGCCGCTACCCTAGCACCGATTGAGGTCACCACTAGATGCGCATGGTCAAGGCGAACGTCGTAGCGTAGATGGTTTCGTCGGAGAAGCTACCGACGGCGAGTTGCGCCGTCGTCGTCCTCCGCCTCCCTTATGCATCTCGGGCCGACAAGCGGCCCGATCGTCGATCTCCGACACGCGAGGCGCGGAGCGATCTGGGCCGCTTGTGCGCGACTTGGGCGCGCCGCATCTTGGGCAGCGCGCAACTGCGTGTTCATGAACGTCGCCGTTCCTTTCGGCCGCCCAACAAATGCCGTGATTTATTTTCTTATTTGTTTTGCTTTATTATTTCACTGATTTATGTTGATATTCAAAAATATATATCTACTAGTTGGTAGATCCAAATGCTATGGTTCCAATTTTGTTGAGTTCATGATAATGTCTAGTATTTAATAAAAATATTATATGGACACATGTTTTAGAAATTCTGGATGGATTAATTAGGACTTTGAAATGTGTTTTTGGATACATGCAAACTTGTTTGAATTTTATCTTGAGTTTCTGTGGTCCAAAAATTATGAATTTTTGTGGGTAGTCTATTATTGCTTATTAGAAGCTCTGGTGAAAATTTCAGAGCTAGTGCATGTGTAGTTTTTAAGTTATAGAATTTCTTTTTATTAATGGGTGGATCTTGTGTGAATTTTCATAATTTTTCTATAGATCCAGTGAAGGTGAAATTTGATGAGTGCTATTCTTATGCTAGAATGATGCTAGGAAAAATGGGAAATCTGTTGCTTGACACTTTTTAATAAGGTTTCCTAATTATGCTCAAATTAGACATGTCACCTGTTATTTTGGATACAGCAAGTTATGTTTGCCCAATGACTTTGAAATTTTTATGGTAGTCTATGTGCAGCATGAGATAGCTACTGTAATTTTTGTAGATTTTTATGAATAGTTTTACTATATATTGCTTAAATCACCTAATTATCTAAATAAATTAGAAAAGGATATTAAATAAATTATTTAGAAGTTGACACTATACTTTCTGATGTTTCTAAGGTATGAAAAACAAGTTGGTAAACTTGGATTGATCAAATTATGCTTTTGCCTCATCATTAAATAATTAAGTTAGCAACCCTGTCATTGCGGGACAGATTCTAGGTTTACTGGAAATTGATTTGGTTAACATCAGAATCATGCTTTGCTGTTTACCATTGATTTGTAGAACATTTCATAAGCTTTCCAGAATGTCCTCATACAAGTCATTTGGATTTATAGAACTCTGGTTATGATTGAATTAAGTAACTACTTGTTTGCATATGAAGCTTTAACTGTTATTTTAAGTATGTCTTTACTATTTCTAAGTTTGTGGTACTATTCCTAGGTGTTAGGCCTTTAACTGAAGATAAGCATCTTTATCTTAGGTTATGAAAGTTAGGTAAGTTGCTCTTGTTCTTTAAGTTAAGTTAGATACATGCTTAAAGTGATTTGAATAGAGCTAATTACTCGGTAAACGAGTGTCCAGTGATGTTTTCGTAAACACCCACTGTGATTCATTCATCATGAGCATCATGTCATT